TGGAGACTACGCTACGTTGTCTCGTCTCCCGGAACCAGACCACCGGGAGTGACCACCTCACATGGGTCGAGTTTGCCCACAATACTCTTCCTACGGCAGCCACAGGTCTCTCTCCATTCCATTGTGTCAATGGTTTCCAGCCTCCGCTTTTCCCAAACAACGAGGAAGAAGTAACGGTACCATCGGCTCATGCCATGATCAGACGTTGTCGCCGAGTTTGGGCTGGTGCTCGCCAGTCTCTTCTCCGAAGTTCAGCTCGGATGAAGGCTGTTGCAGACGTCCATCGCAGGGTCGCTCCGAGATTTGTGGGTCCTTTTCCGGTGTCCAGTGTCATCAACCCAGTGTCTGTACGCTTACAACTTCCCAGGACTATGAGAGTGCATCCAATGTTTCATGTCAGTAAGATAAAGCCAGTGTGTGAGAGCACACTTGTTCCCGCCTCCAAGCCCCCTCCACCGCCCCAGTTCTTTGAGGGTGGTGAGGTTTACAAGGTTCGTAAGCTGCTGGAGGTCCGTAATAGGGGGAGGGGGAAGCAATTCCTGGTAGACTGGAAGGGTTACGGTCCTGAGGCTAGATGCTGGGTAGCTGCTTCATTTATTGTTGACAAAACTTTGATCCAGGATTTCTATAATCAGCCTGGGCCATCAGGAGTCGGCCCTAGAGGGTGGGGGGGTACTGTTGTGCACCGACAGAAATGTTGAGATAGTCACATTTTATGTTGTTTTATGGTTGTATTGTCTTCCACTTCCTGTTTTGTTTTTGTCACTCACCGTTTACCTGTCATTCCAGGCTCCCTGATTGTCTACCTTTTATGTGTCCCGCGCTCATCAGCACCAGCCCCGCCCCTGATTGTTTCCACCTGTGTCTTGTTGTCGTGTGTTTAAATTCCCCAGTTTTCCAATGTTCCTTGTCAGTTTGTCTTGTCTCATGCCTAGGTCAGATCTATGCTCTCCTTGATACCAAGATGTTTTTGTTCCTCACTACGTGAGCGATTTTCTTTTGTTCACCTTTTGTCATCTCATCTAGAGATTAGATAGTGTTTATTTCTGTTAATCTATTTGAAAATAAAGTATCTTACAAATACTTTACCTCTGTCTCCTGGGTCGTGCAATTGGGTCCTATACCCTGAGTATCTGAGTTCGTAACACTGGAAGAACTGCCACCGAAACTGAATACGTGACGTGGATCATACATATATCAGCAATTAAACAAAATCTTCAATTTCTCTTCACACAATGCGTCTCCTTGCAGTATCAATACTAATTCGGCTGACTTTTATATTTGATCCAATTGGTAGATAAGTAGCAGTGCACAGCTGATAGACAGGGACTTGTAGTTTTTAAAGATATTATTGATTTTCTTTGAATTAAAGAATGTAAATACTGAGTTGAGAGAATAGTCAGGGGTTTTGGGTGATGGGAGACACATCTACGGATTCAGAATTTCAATAGCTTACCCAGGGTGTCCGCAGGGTCTTAAAAAGTATTAAAAGTTGATAAATCAATTTAGCGAAAATTAACGCTATTAAAAAGTATGAAAAAGTAACGGCATTTTCCAAGGTATTAAGAAGGTCCACAGCAACGACAACATGAAACACCCTTTAATTTACTGCAACGACATGTCGGGAAACCCCCTCAAGGCGGCCCCATGCATAGTGCGCCGTAAAATGCTGCTTCTTATTTTAAAGGAGAGGTATCATGGCCATTTCCACTGATCATAATTCCATTGTTGAGGTCTACTAAAATAGATTTATACTGTGCATTTTTCCAAACTCACATTAGTTCTATTTCGTCCCTACTGACCGCCAGAGGCGGTGCTTTTAGCACTGGATATGTCCATCGTGCGCATGCGCAGTACGAGTACCAATATCAACAAAGTCACCTGTGACTCACGTGACACCGGCTATATCAGCCAGTGTCATCAGAGGATCTGTTCCTTTCATCTTCTCGCTGCGCGAGAGTACCGTGGCTGCATTCTTGCAGCCTACAGCGTTCAGGTTTGAACGTTTGATCTGAGGGATTTCTCTGCATACAGCTGGCCGCGGGGAGCTTCGCGACTGATAGTCGGAGCTACGGGTTGTTAACGCGTCCTCCAGGAGCTGTGGCCGGCGGTGCGCCGTGCAGAGCCTCGACGGACAGGTTCGTGTCAACTTGTGGTGATGGCTGTGTTCCCGCACCCTCTCCCAGCTAAGTTGTCCTGATTGCTGTCTTGTTATTGTCGGGCTACTTTCTGGTGACGACAGTGTTCTCGCCTCCTCTCCCATAAAGTTGCCCTTATGATGCTCTTTCGAAAGTTCTGCTTGTGGCGTTGTGCCCGAGCTGTCTTTAGCATTTGAGTTCCCAGCTTTCGCTACGTCTCTCATTTAATTTGTATGGAAAGCCCACAGTGCCATAAATTGCCTGTTTTTTGTTAGGTGCAGAGAGTAAGGTAAGTTCTGGCCAGAGTTACTACTGTAACTACGGTCCTAGGCCATGCAACTACGGCATGGTTACTGCTGTAACCATGGCCTATGGTTCTTGCGGGCTGTTCTATTCCTTAGAAGCTAATTAGCTTCATTCTCAGCGACTGCAGTAGCGCTATATTGTTGTATTTACCACTCCTAGTGCTAGTCTCCTAGCACTAGGATGGGTAGATGCGGAGAACAATCTTCACTGTGTGTGCTGTGTGCTCCGCATGTGTGGCCATTCACCGGCCACGGTTACTTTTGCCATAGTTACTACTGTAGCTACGGTTCTAAGCCGTTTAAGTATTGGCCATAGTTACTACTGTAACTACGGGTCTACGCCTTGTAAATACTGGCCATAGTTACTACTGTAACTACGGTTCTAAGCCGCGTAAGTACTGGCCATAGTTACTACTGTAACTACGGTTCTAAGCCGCGTAGGTACTGGCCATGGTTACTACTGTAACTACGGTTCTACGCCGCGTAAATACTGGCCATAGTTACTACTGTAACTACGGGTCTAAGCTGTGTAAGTACTGGCCATAGTTACTACTGTAACTACGGTTCTAAGCCGTGCGAGTACTGTCCATAGTTACTACTGTAACTACGGTTCTAGGCCGTGTAGGCTGGCCATGGTTACTACTGTAACTACAGCTCTGTGCTGTTCTCTTCTTTGGAAGCTAGTTATCTGGTCTTAAACATTGTGTTTTTTGACTTGATTTCGCTTGATTGTTAGCAGCAGCCGCTTGACTAACACCTTGCATGGACCGTTTAGCTTCATTATTTAACTCAGCTGGTGAAGGCAGTGCTCTCGCTCCCGCTCCCGGTAACGTTGCCCTGTAACGTATCACTCTGGCTATTAGCAGCGGCCACTTGGCTAACATCTGGCGTGTTCGGCGTGCTGCTTGATTCTTAGCAGCAGCTGCCTGGCTAAGCTGCCCTGTTAAGCTTCTTCGTTTAATCTAGCCAGGTGTAGGCAGTGCTCTCGCTCCCGCTCCCTCTGCTAGTAGCGTGGGTGTAGGTCATTCATCCCCCTCTGTGTTCGGCGAGTAGGAGCAGTGCTCTACTCTTTCCGTTCAGCAGGTAGCCGGTGAAGGCTGTGTTACCGCTCCCGGTTACGCTGCAACTGGCATTTGTCTCTGACTCAACCAGTGAAGGCAGTGTTCTCGCCCCCGCTCCTGGTAGACGTGTACTTGATTCTAGCAGCAGCCGCCCGGCTAAGCTGTCCTGTTGAACTTCTTTATTTAATCCAGCTAGGTGAAGGCAGTGCTCTCGCTCCCGCTCCCTCTGCTGGTAGCTCCGTGCTTCGTTTACTCGGCTAGGTGAAGGCAATGCTCTCGCTCCCCGCTCCCTCTGCTAGTAGCCTTGCACTTTCATTTACTCAGCTAGGTGAAGGCAGTGCTCTCGCTCCCCGCTCCCTCTGCTAGTAACGTGGGTGTAGGACATTACACCCCTCTCGTGTTCGGCGAGTAGGAGCATGGCTCTACTCTTTCCGTTCAGCAGGTAACTGGTGAAGGCTGTGTTCTCGCACCCCGCTCCCGGTTACGCTGCATCTGGCATTCGTCTCAAACTTAACCAGTGAAGGCAGTGCTCTCGCCCCCGCTCCTGGTAGACGCTAAAACTGCCTTGTTCGTTAATCCAGCTAGGTGAAGGCAGTGCTCTCGCTCCCGCTCCCTCTGCCGGTAACGTGGGTGTAGTTGCATCCCTCTTTGTATTCGGCAAGTAGGAGCATTGCTCTACTCTTTCGGTTCAGCAGGTAGCTGGTGAAGGCGGTGTTCCCGCACCCGCTCCCGGTTACGCTGCATCCGGCATTCGTCTCGAACTTAACCAGTGAAGGCAGTGTTCTCGCCCCCGCTCCTGGTAGACGCTAGACTGCCTTGTTTATTAATCCAGCTAGGCGAAGGCAGCGCTCTCGCTCCCGCTCCCTCTGCCGGTAACGTGGGTGTAATTACATCCCTCTTTCTGTTTGGCGAGTAGCAGCACCGCTCTACTCTTTCCGTTAAACAGGTAGCTGGTGCAGGCTGTGTTCCCACACCCGCTCCCGGCTACGCTGCATCTGGCTACCCACAGAATGGCTCATTCATGTGGGCTGTCCCCTAAGGTGGATCGGTTAGCTGCCATCATGGAGCAGACAAAGCCGCTCCTGTTGGCCCTTCAGCCAGGGGCCGGTGTGGGGGCTACTAGCTTGCCGCCTGGCCTGCCTTCGGTTGCCACACCTCCGCTTGAGGATGCCATGTCGCTAGCGGCTCCGGCTGAACCTCTTCTTGAAAGGCGGGGGGCGGGGCCCCGCTCACCCCCGAAGAGGCTCCCCACTCCTCTGCTCAGAGCTCTTTGCAGGGCACGGAGGACGGCTCCATGGCGCCCATTATTCGTGCGGCCCTGGTACGCTTGCGGCTTCAGGTTCCGCAGGCCGACCCAGGCTAGCGCCTTCTTCAGGCATAACCCTGCCCCCTTTCATTCCCACTGTTCCTCCTTTAGAGGAGTACCTGAGGGAGCTCCATGCATGCTAGAGACACACCAGGGCCCTCTCCCATTCTGCTGCCATGCAGGATCCGGCGAGGGTGGGGCTGGGTCGCTTGCCATCCATTGAGCCTGCCATCGCCTCCCCGATTCTGGCCCCGGATGCCAGGCGCCCTCGGCCTCAGTGCAGGGTCACAAACGAGCTGCTCTGTAAGGCCTACGACACAGCGGCACGGGAACTCCCTCTCCCACCTGATACTGGCTGTCTCTACCTCTCTGCAGCAGGCTCCGGCTGAGCCTTCTTTGCTGGGCCTCAGTGATGCATCACTGCAAGCCTTTGCCCTAATGCTAGGGAATTGGGACGAGTCATGTCCTTATGGTGCAGACTCGTCGCCAGGTTTGGCCTGCTTAGTCACCACTGTCGGAGACATGTCCTCCGGAGTGTGCCAGTCGAGTCAGGGGAGCTGTTTGGGGCAGCTGCCCTGTAGGCACTGGAGCGTGCTGCCCAAGCTAGGCAGACCAGGCAGCAGCTATCGGGTCTTTTATAGGCCTGTGCCCACTCCCAGCAGGCCCAGGGGCCCCTCTAGCAGCCGCACTCAGCCATCAGCTTACAGTGGTGGTCTGCGCAGGTCCCAGCGGCCCACTCATCCGTTGTGCCCCCGGCTGCCGGCCTTCTAGGCGGCCTCGTGCCTCAGAGCCTTACCGGCCTCCCCCCAGCAGCAGCTCAGCTACTGGGCTGTCTGTACTTCCGGCCCTTGGGTGGTTTTCACCTTAACCCAGGGGTACGAACCGCAGTTCCGGCCCCTAGCCTTCGGCCGGGCCAAAATGGCAGATGCCCTAGCTCTAGCCAAGAGTTGTCCGTCCTTCTGCCCAAGGAGGCAATCGAGCCAGTAGACCCTCTGCTTAGCCCAGGGGGTTCTACTCTGCGTACTTTCTCGTGGCCAAGAAAGTCGGCGGATTTCACCTGCTCTTGGACCTCAGAGGAATCGACAGATTCCTGGAGGTGCTGCCATTCCATATGCTGACCGCAGCACATGCACAGTGGGAGTGGTTCGCAACCGTGGACTTTAGGGAGGCCTACTTCCTCGGCAAGAGGGTGCCTGATATTCAGTTCCTCCGGCCCTTGGGCAGACTGACGGCTGCCTCAGCCGTTGGGCCCTTAGGCCCGCTGTCGTTGTGCCCCATGCAGATGTGGCTGATCAGCCTTCTCTTGGATGCCAAGTGGCACAGGCACAGGAAAGTCAGAGCGTTGCAGCGTTGTCTCCACTCTCTGTCACGCCGGAGGGGCAGGGTCTATCTCCTGATGGGCGTGCCCATGGGCGCCATCCCATCCCGCCAGGAGACCGTCACCATAGGTGCATGTCTCTTATGGTGGGGTGCAGTGCGGCAGGGCAGGACCGCTCAGGGTCAGTGGTCTGCCCAGGAGGGTGCACGCCATGTCAGCGTGCTAGAGCTTCGGGCTGTGCAGCTTGCACTCACGTACTTTCTACCCCAACTGAGGGGCAAGAATATGCATGTTCCTTGGGACAGCAGGTACACTGTTGCCCAGACGGCAGTCCCTTCTAGATAGTGGGCGTTCTCACTCCACTCTGAATTTATGTGGCTGCTATTTCTGCCCGACATGTTCGGGTCGACGGCGCCACGGCGGGGTGCCTCAGGTCGGTGTCCCTCTTCCTGAAGAGGGGCTTTACGGCAGCGTCCCCCTAGCACCCCGAGGGCTCCGGCTTGGGACCTGCCCCTGCTGCCGGATGCCCTATCATCTCCTCCCTTCGAGCCCCTGGCCCAGGTGGGGCTTTGGTGGCTGCCCACGAAGGCAGCATTTCTGCTTGCCATGGCCTCAGGGAGGCAAATTGGGGAGTTACATGTCCTCTCCATAAACGATACATGCCCCAGGTGGGACTCTCAGGTGTTGCCCTTGGCATTCCTGCCCAGGGTGCTTCCACAAACCCACTTCAATCAGCCTGCCCAGCTGGCACGCTTTGACATTCGGGAGAACGGCACGTCGAAGTGGCTGTGCCCTGTGGGTGCCCAAAGGGCGAATATCGAGGCTACTGCCTGTATACGGCAGTCGGAGCAACTCTTGTTTTTGCCATAGCGGCACTAAAGGAGGTGTGCCCTCTACCAGTGGCTGCCCCACTAGGTTGTCGATACCATTTCACATGCCTACGGGGCCAGTGGCCGCCCCTTGCCATCTGGGCTGAGATACCACTCTGCAAGGAGCATCTCAACATCTTGGGCTGCCCTGAGAGGGGCGCCCCTGGATACCATCTGTGCCGCGGCGTCGCGGGCGTCTTCTGGCACATTCTCCAGTTATCGGGTTAATGTCGCCACTCCCCATTCTTTGGGCATGGTCCTTTTGCCAAGCTCCGCTGCTTCCAGTAGTGAGCCAGGGCTGGGATTCTTCATGACATGGTTGGTATAAGTCATCCAGTGCTAAAAGCACCGCCTCTGGCGGTCAGTAGGGACGAAATAGAACGATAGTTACGTCTGTAACTACGGTTCTATGAGTCCCGGATGACCGCCAGAGTTTCCTGTCACTCAGAATTCTTGTGTGCTCGCGAGAAGATTCTGGGAACAGATCCTCTGATGACACTGGCTGATATAGCCGGTGTCACGTGGGTCACAGGTGACTTTGTTGATATTGGTACTCGTACTGCGCATGCGCACGATGGACATATCCAGTGCTAAAAGCACCGCCTCTGGCGGTCATCCGGGACTCATAGAACCGTAGTTACAGACGTAACTATCGTTTCTCATACAGCATCTCTGTAAACTATGTGTATTCACTGAATTTCACTCTCTGCCTTTAACGGCTCGTTGTAGCTCCAAAAGCTCCAGCCCCCACCCTCCCTGTGAGCACAGTGTGCTCTGATTGGTCGGGACGTTGTGAATCGCGCTGAGCTCCGTGGAGGTGTTGTTTCCTTGTTTAGGATACATAGCGAAACACAGCCAAACTCATCCTGAGCACACACAAACTCACAGCCGAAGTAAAAACAATAAGTGTGGCTTGATATCGAGTAAGAAAAAGGTTGATAAACGCTGTGAGAATGGGTCTGCAGAGAGAATTTGGCCGCGATCCCAACTGTCTGTTATCAGCCTGCAGCCAGGGAGAAGAAATCAGCAGAGTCCGTGGATTGGTCAATTTCGTTCCTGGCCATTCACACGTCACAGTACCCAGGAAGTAAACAATGGACAATGACGTATCTCCAACGAGGCGTTTTGGGGAGGTATTTTCTGTGTTAGAGTTTTACTCGCTATAGGGTGTACTTTGAGGGTTTTGACTCTGCACACCGTTTACATGCATAAAAACCTTCATAACACACAAGGGGACGGGTAATAACCGGAAAAGCATGATACCTCTCCTTTAAGTTTCGTTGCCTTGCTCCGCTCTGGGGGGGGGGGAAGAGTGTGTTGGGACGCCACTGATGGTGATGAAAGCTGGTTCGAGGGGCCCCACAGACTCTAGAATCGCCACTGTCGATGGGGATCAAAGCTGTCCGGTCCCACATGCTAAGTGCTAGCCAGAAAGCCGCGGCGTTTAAGTCCCGACTCTCCCGATGGCCAATCCGTGCCTCCCCTGTGCAGACTCTCTGCACCGAGGAGCAGCGGAGTCCGGGCGATGCTGCTCCTCCAAGGAAGAGCAGAGCCGGCCCGACCGATTAATCGACATAAGCGGCCGCTTAGGGCCCCGCAGCCACTAAGGGCCACCTAGCAAAAAAAGAAAATTAATTTTTTTTTTTTATCTCAGTACACCGTTTTTTATCTCAGTACACCGTCGCCGTGATAAGTATGTTTAATGTATAATTAATTTTGTTAATATGCCTAGATTGTCTACTCTCAAAGTCATGTATTATATTATTGAGTCAATCATATAATACATTAACCGTGCTTTGCCTGAACCTCATCATGACACTAGAGAGGACGGCAGGATTGTAATTTCCCGTGTTCAGTGAATGCAACAGAGGCAAGACACCAGACCAACCAGAGAGTTGAATGGAAATAAACATCTGTCTTATTGGCTGACAGGTACCTATCCTGTGAGCTGTGACAATGTTTAAAATAAACTGTCAGTCTCAGACTCAGAGTTTTTGAAGATGGACATAAGAACATTTGTTCTTAAAAAAGACGACCATTCTCAAGTGGTGGCTCACACAACAACCCCAGAGCCACCACTTGAGCCAGGAGAAATTACAGCTACGTTGACGTTACTTTGAATCGTGGGGGTAAGCTAAACCGTTAGCAAGTAGCTATAGCTAGCCAGATATATTAAATAAACACTTTGTCATACAATCTAAATGTAATGTTTTTTAGCGTTACCTGGTGATTTCAAAGAAAGCTCTCTGGGAAATGTTGACTTACTGTTCGACATGAAGCTAGAAGCTACCTTACAGTACACAGTTGATCCTGAGTCCTGTCAGTTAAAGTGTTTCATAGTTAGCTTAGCTAAGCATCAACCTAGCAAGTGAAATATATGGATGTTATGTGACAGTATTTCTGAGAAAAAGTCAGCTGAAATGGTGGCATAGTTGCCACTGCTTTACGTGTCGACAGCATGTTTGAACGTATTTGCAGCAGTAAATGTGGCTGTTTGGCCACTGACGTTGCCATAACAACACCTGATTGTAAATGTGCAACCTCTTTTTGTGACAGATTTTTCCTATTGACAGCTAGTTTCTATGTGAACATTATGAGATGGACAGCCAGAGAGAATAAATGAAAAACAGTTATGAAATACTATATGACAAAACAAGAATACAGTTTAAAAGGGGAGTGATTTGTAAAATATCCATAAAGAAAAATCTGTTTACAGTTCTGTTTCATATGGGTGTTGAGAGATGTATCCATAGATCTGTTAATTTTGCTCTCAAAGTGCACCAGATTGATGCTTTTAACTTCAATATTTAAAAATAAATCTTCCCGGGGGAGCATCCCCGGACCCCCCTAGAGGAGGTGAGGACCCCCCTAGAGGATGTTAGGTCCACGGTGTTTACATGCTTATTTATACAATATGTGTGCTTATGCTAACATCATAAGACAAAAGTTGGTTCTGTGTTGTGTGAAGTGAGAACGCGCTAGAGTGAGGGGGGCCCCCAAGCCAAAGCTCGCTTAGGGCCCCCAAAAGTCTAGGGCCGGCCCTGAGGAAGAGACACACGTTCACTAAGCAAAAAAAACAATATCCGGTCACAGAGATCTGCTATTTTAAAGTAAAGTCAACACATATCGACCCTAAATATAGTCTATATTAAGAACGAGAAAAGTCTTAACATATATCGTTTTTTGTAAACATATGACAAATGTGCGAGGGTGATGACGTCAGAGCATCGTCCTATGTGCTGGGGCTTAG